ACATTAAAATCAGAACCAGTCCTTACCCATGGCACCGATGCATTGGCCAAATCTGACACCGATATACCAGGCACCCCCAAATTAATTATTCATTCCATAACCTGAATAATGTAAAGACAATAACTATAATTAAATGACCATTTTAAATTTTCTCGTGTTTTTAGTTGCCATCTGCAGCTTCCTGGGTGTCTCCTAGCATGAATGTTTTTGCTTTCTCCTTGCTATGTTCTGAGGCCTCGAGTCTCCTAGTGATTATGTGGGGTTTGACTAAAGGGGGGCGCTGAAGGAAGAACCTTCTTTATCTTTTGTTATTTCAATATTCTTTCCCTTTGATGCAGCCTGAAAGACGTGTGCCTGTCTTTGCACTTCAAGAGGCTGATGGTTTTCACAGGTGCATTCTTTTGGTTCCTTTAATTGCCTACAGTGGTGGTCCGCTGTAGAAAAATTCATTGTTCATATTCTGTAAACCCCTGTTGACAAAACATCTGTGATAAAAGTAGGGGTAGGGAGCTATCACTAATGCTGACTAGGAAGGAAGATAGATTTTTTTTTCTCCTTACATCTTTTCTATTCCAGAAATTTCAGATTAATTGTTGTGTCCCAAATACAGTTTGATTGTTTTATATGCTGCATCCATTTCTGCCTGTGGCAATGTATCCCATCTGAAAATCAGGATTACGATGTTGGAAATAAAAAAGTTTGGTTAACATCATACCAATATCAACTAGGAATAGAATTAGTTGGCTCTGTGTTCCCATCTCTAAACACTGGAGCACCCTTCCTCACATCAAAAGGGGAAGGCAATTGCCTGTCCTGATTTTTTTTTTTAACTTCTGTCTTAAATATTCCCAATGTTTCGCCATTACAAAGCCACACAGTAGTGAGATATTCCAGTGATGGAAGTTCTGTATATAGATATCCTAGCCTGTTAGGAGTCCATCATTATCTTCAGAACCCCATAACATTTGAACTATATAGTTATGGCAGGACCATACACACACAGTCCATTCTCCGCTGCCTGCCCCTGTGTCAAAACACTAATATCACTGATGTAAAGAGAAACATTTTCTCATGAACAAAAATAACCCAGAAACTTGAGTGAGGATGCTGTTTTTAGACATAACTCCTAAAATCCTGGCTGCTAGACAATATCCTTCAGTTAATGAGGTAGCATATTCTAAATGATTATGCATGGAATCTGGAGTTGGGAACATTTGATTCTAATCTTGTCACTAACGCTTGCCATATGGCCTTAGGCAGGTCAAGAATATCTACATTTTCCCAAGTTTTCTCTGACTTTTAGGGTGCTTCAGTTTTTTGGTGCTCCACTGGTGTCCCTAACAGCCTGGTTTTTCAGAGGTACTAAAGGAGAAAAGGGGCACATAGAAAGAGATGAATTACTACAGGGTGGCAAGTGGCAAAGACCCGCAGAAGGACTGGTAATAAGGAGGCTAAGCTGTGAAGAGCTGGAACTAGAAATAAGTCTCTCTAAATGTAGAAGCATAGATGCTGGAACTAAAGGTGCTGGGGGTGCTGCTACACCCCCTGGTTTGAAGTGGTTGCCATTATATACAGGATTTACAGTTTGGTTCAATGACTCTCAGCACCCCCACTATACAAATTGTTCCAGCGCCCCTCCATAGAAGCCTTCATTTAAAACTAACTGCAGTGGCAGGGGCAGCAAATGTATTCATTCACTTTTCTTATGCAAATCAGTGATTGGCTACTAGTAGGCACAAAGCGTGAACGTTCAGGTGAGATTTCTCCACACAGTGCTCAGCTAGTATGCCCAAACCCTTCCTGCTCCTTCTGAGAGTAAAAATAGTCTCTCTTCCTGCACATGCTCACTTTTTCTACCTCTCGCCCCCCCCCCCGCCCTTTAAATGTAAAAGAGAGGAGGTATGGTTGTATCCCATGTGGCTCTTCAGAAGTAAAGATGCTCCATTTACCAGAATCATTTAGAGTAATCTCAGCTTTTTAGGGATCCATCTCAGGAGAAATGTGTGGCGTTCTCAGCTCACTACTAATGGCTTTCAAGCTCCTGTGGTTTCATATCCAGTTTAGTAAAGCACTTGGGTGAGTGGTGAGACTTCCATCTCCCATGTCTCAACATCCTCTTCACTTTCCTGACAGGTCTCCATGAACATGAGACTGCTTGGTTACACAGCAGAATTGTCTACCTCCCCATTTCCCAGTCTATCCACCTGGAGAGGCCAGCAGCACTTGTTAACTTAAAAAATAGGAATTGTACCAAATGCCTTGGTAAATAGTAACTAAATAGAATAGAGATCACAGATTGGAGGGAAGGGTGGAGGAGATTTGGTGCAAAGACAGTTCAGGATGAGACCACACTGAACCTAAATCCCATCAGTGTGACAGGTGGTGCTGTGCTGGGAAAGGCATCATCTTTTGAGTGAGAAATTCTGTTGAGGGCCTGGCAATTTGTCATTTTAAAATTTTGTACTCCCTTTTGCGTAGTGGCTTTTAGATCCCAGTGGCCTCACTACATTCCAATCTAGGTAATTGTTTTGCCTGCCTGTATCTCCCATGATAGTTTCAGCTGGGTATAAGATTTTTTCACACACACACCCCATCGCACTCTCTGTTGTGTTGCCATATCCTGGTGACTAGTTACCAGCTTTCAGCTCAGAAATAGCTGTTGTTATTCAACGTAAAGTGTTAAATGTGTATTTCTAGGGAAAGTGTTATCTAATGGCTGGAGCAGGAAACTAGGTGTTAGTTCTAAAGTTCTGCGGTGGGCTGTGTGTTCCTGCACAAGCCACCTCTCTGTGCCTCCATTTATCCCTCTTTAAAATGAGGATAAAGCCTTCGTCACAATGTGGGGATTGAGGCTTCAATGTTTGTAAAGAGCTCTGCAACCAGTCATTGAATATGCTATGGAAGTGCCAAGAATGATTATAAAAAACGGAACACAATAGCAATTACTGTATGAGAGATTTGAAATTCTAAACCATAGTTTTCAGAGCAGCAGCCGTGTTAGTCTGTATCCGCAGAAAGAAAAGGAGTACTTGTGGCGCAAGTACTCCTTTTCTTTAAACCATAGTTGCATGCTTTAAATCACCTCGTTTTACTGTCCTATTTTTAAAGTGCACACGTGTGTTTTAATATATATGAAATGTTCATTTCTGAAGTAGTTATTGCCCCATTGTTAATTGTTACAGATTTTGCAGAGAGACGTGTCTCACCGACCATTAGTATGTTCTCTGCTCATACATTAGCAGAAGAGGAGATGCTTTGTTTGTTGTTCTTCACTTCATAACAAATTCTAGAGGGCATTTCCCCCCTTTTATTTCTCTCTCTCTTTCTAAAACTATTTTGTTTTCCTTATGACCGTTTTTGTTTGTTTGTTTTTTAAAAGAAGTAGTAGTCTTTCTGTGGTTTGAAAATGAGAGAGGGCAGAATTTGTGGGTAAAACATTTTAAATAATGCTCTAATATTAAGAAGCTGCAGATGAAAATTATATGTATTTCACGAATTTTCTGTCCTGCATTCGTACATGTGCACTCTTGAAGCACTGATTGAGGGATGATTAATTAAAACTTTAAAATACCATACAATTTTGAGAAATACCCGCTCAAAAATGTGTGTGTGTGTATACGTAGTATACTTACCACCTAATGCATCTCAATCATTCACTCAATCATCCCTCAATCTTTGTGTAAAATACAACTTTACACTCTTACACTCACTTTTTAAAGAGCAGGTTTAGTGGTCAAAGCTATGCTGTAAACATAAATAGGCAACACCTGGTGAAAATTATTCTTACACCTGCATCTTTACCTCAAGCTGAGTGTGTAAAAAGAATAATGAACTCATTAGGACTTTAGATTACTTCTGTCGTTGTGGTATTCATCTCATAAGTGGTACTTATATGACCACTTCTCCTGCCCTTCAACCAATAATTAACCTCTGCTGCAGCTTCTATTAATGTTTGAGGTACACGGGCCCTTTCAAATAGCCACCATTTAAAAAGAAAAAAATTGCCAGAGGAATGTTTCCTATATTCACGCCAAACTTGCACTGGCCTAAGGTACAGAAATATACAGTTCTGTACCCGTGACATGTTTAAGGTGTGATAACATGTGACCCATTAGGGTTAGAAATGTGTGAAAGGGAGATTCCTAACTGTCCAGTGTGGATACACAGCAGTTCATTTATTGTATGGTATCTATCATAATTTTATAGCATGTATCCTTAGCATTAGGTGCTAGTTCTGGTTCTGGAAGGTCCTGTTATATTGGACATTAAAATAATGATATTAATGTGTATTTGAAAAAAAAAGTATGAGATTCTAAAACATTACTTTCAATATTTATCCTCTTTCTCTGAGAAATTTCCCAGTAGTGTGGGATTTAGGAATTAAAGTAGCCTGGTTTTACAGATGGATGAACACAAAAAAATTGTCTCACTCAGTCAAGCTGTATTTCTAAAATAGCTGTTCTTATAAACATGTAGTGCATGAAGAATGTGTGGTGGTATGGTGAGATGTTACCCTAATAACTCATTCAAGGCTTTGACAATAGGGCGTAGGAGTAGACTAGACCAAGTGTCTGAGTGCCTCCCAAGCATTTAAAAAGAGAGAACAGTAGCACTGGTGAAGTGCAGTGGTGTTTCCAAACTCATTCTCATAAACCTCCATACTGTACCCTCATGTTCTCATTCCCTGTGCAGGGAGGATGTGCACTGGTTAGGGCATTAGCTTAGGACGTGAGAGAACTGGGTTCAGTTACTGCCCCACCTCAGATCTCTTGGGCAGGACATTTAGTCTCTCTGTGCCTCAGTTCCCCGTCTGCAGAACAGCAAGAATAGCACTTTTTCCTACCTCACGGGGGTGTTGTGAGGACAAATTCATTAAAGATAGCCAGGTGCTCAGCTACTATAGCAAGTTGGGCCATAAGTACTATAGATAATGCACACTGAGAGATCCACAGTTGCCTGCCTCCTTTAAAGCCCTTTCATTTCTTTCATTTGTTGCACAGATCCAGTCCATGGACCGCAGAGTGTGGAAGTTGTTGACATTCGCTCCCGGCAGCTGACCTTGCAATGGGAGCCCTTTGGTTACGCGGTGACCCGTTGCCACAGCTACAACCTAACAGTCCAGTACCAGTATGTGTTTAACCAGCAGAAGTACGAGGCAGAGGAACTCATCCAGACATCCTCACATTATACCTTGCGAGGCCTTCGGCCCTTCATGACCATCCGGTTGAGGCTAGCACTTTCTAATCCAGAGGGCAAAATGGAAAGCGAGGAGCTGGTGGTACAGACTGAAGAGGATGGTAAGAAAAAAAAAATTTCCCCCCATGGTTCAAAGTTCTAAGTAACTGTTCGGGGGTGTGAGGGGGAAATGACTTTGTAAAAATGGCATTGTGGGCTTGGAGGTGGTGTCTCACGAACTCCGTATCGTATTTCCTTGGGCTGCAATTAAAATAGGGATTATATATACTTACCTATTTTTCGCGGCATGGATAATGTCTGTAAAGCACTGTGAAGCCGCAAGTAATATTCATGTCTGTCAGTCAACAGCAAAGGACTCAGTTCTGGGGAGTGTTGGGTGCTAAACTCCCAGTGCTGCACCCCCCCCCATTTCTCCTCAACCCCCTGAGACAAACTTCTCCAGTCCCATAGCTTATTTTATTTATTGTAGGGGAAGCTGGTTAATCTAATAGCTCCAATTAGAAATGTGTGCTGCAGTGCCAAAGACTCAGTGTTCAAACCCTGCTGATACCTGTTCTTGTTATGAGTTTACATAACAGAATTTTACTGTCTTCCCTTAAACAAACAAACAAACAAAAAAACACCCTAGGAAATTACATACCAAATGTGATAAAGAACGTTATTTAGGTTGTAGAGTCAGGCACTCAAGGTAGCAAATTTGAGATTTATGGTTGCATGTCCAACCTTAATTCTGCCACTTTGTGGATATGCATTATAATGCAGCCGTTAATTAGAGGAGCACATGCTGTCTTTTCGACAGGGGTCTGCCCTCATTCAGTGCACAGCTGGAGGCGTAGGGGACCAGAATGAAGTTTGCATAGGCAACTGCAATTCTGACACTTGCAAACTTTTGGGTGTTTAACTTTCCAACCTAAATAACATTTTAATAAGGATTTTTGTACATAAATTATTTTCCAGAATGAACCTTTTTCCATAATTCTGGACATTCCAGGTCACAGAGTGTCCTAACATATCATGTACACATATTATGCTAAATTAATGAGGCCAGATTCTGCCACTCTTGTTCCATTAGAAGTGCTTTGAGGATGTATTATTATTTATTAATATTTGTATTATTGTGTCGCTTAGGTAGAATGACCAGATGTCCCTATTTTATAGGGACAGTCGAGATATTCGGGACCTTTACTTATATAGGTGCCTATTACCCCTCCCCCCGTCCCGATTTTTCACACTTGCTATCTGGTCACCCTACGCTTAGGTGTCCAGGACCCTAATGTGTGAGGCTCTCTACAAACACAGAACAAAAAAGACAAGAAGCAAGCTACAAGAAAACAATGAGACAGTGTTGGTCAGCATGGGAAGCAGTGTTCTCAGCACACCAGCAACCAGTCATTGTCTATCCTTTTTGTAGGCCTCAGAGCAAAAGAGAATTTGAAAGTGGATAATGTTGTAGTGTTGTGGTTGTTTACAGGGAGCTTCTTCCAAGCATGAGGGGCAGCATGGGAGAAAATACAAAGGTGCTTGTTTTGAACATTTAATGTGGGCAACGGAGACTGACATCATGGGCCAATCAGAGGCAGGAGTAGGGTTGCCAGGTGACCAGTTTTTGACTGGAACACCTGATTGAAAAGGGACCCTCGTGACTCCCATCAGCACCGCTGACCGGGCCATTAAAAGACGAGTCAATGGCACAGCAGGGCTAAGGCAGGTTTCCTACCTCTCATGGCTCCACGCAGCTCCTGGAAGCAGCAGCATGTCCCCCCTTCTGCTCGTAAACATAGGGGAAGCCAGGGGGCTCTGCATGCTGCCCTCACCCCAAGCGCCAGCTCCGCTGCTCCCAATGGCCAGGAACCACAGCCAATGGGAGTTGCGGGGGTGGCACATGCAGACGGGGAAGTGTGCAGAGCCACTTGGCCATGCCTCCACGTAGAGCCAGAGTGGGGACATGCTGCTGCTTCCAGGAGCTGCTTGAGGTAAGCGCCACCCAGAGCCTGCACTGCTGACCCCCTCCTGTGCCCCAACCCCCCTGACACAGCCCTGATCCCCCTCCTACCCTCTAAACCCTTCGGTCCCAGTCCAGAGCACCCTCCTACACCCCAAATCCCTCATCCCAGGCCCCACGCCACAGCTCAACCCCATGCCGGGGCACTCACTCCCCTGCACTCTAAGCCCCTGCCCCCAGCCCAGAGCCCCCTCCTGCACCCTGAACCCCTCATTTCTGGCCCCATCCCGGAACCTGTATCCCCAGCCCAGAGCCCATACCCTCTGCCTCAGCCCGGAACCCTCTCCCATACTTCGAACTCCTTGGCTCCACCCCACAGCCCACAGACCCCTCCTGTACCTCAAACCCATCATTTACTCTTAGGTTAAAAGTGTCACAGAGAAAACAATAAAATAACCTACCCACATGCTAATAAGCTTATCAGGGATCATCCTCAAATCTACTATGGGGTCTGGCAGGTGATTAGTCCTTTCAAACCCTACAGAGGGGTCTCCGTTGTGGTACAACTTCAGAAGAGCCTGAGTTCAGAACTCGCATACTCATGAAAAGTTTAGTCTCTCCTTTGTACAGTGGTAGATGTTCTTTGATCTGGAGTTTCCAGGAACAGGTGATCAATAGGCAATGGGTTTTCCGGGCATCTCTTCAAAAGGCCTCCCAAGGACCTCCTAGGAAACCCACTTAACACATTGTTCCAAACAGTTCTTTAAAGTTCCTAGCGTTTCCCCAAGCTTTCCATTAATCAGTCTCCTTGAAAAGTTATACACAATTCTACAGTGCCATGTAAACAATTGTATTTTTACTACAGTGGATCCCAAAGATATTAAACAATTCAATAAGGTTTAACTTAATTCAGTAAGGTTTGTCCAGGATATTGCAGAAAATTGCTCTCTGTCACAAAGCCACCTTAGCTGAGACTCAAACTAAGAGTCCTTATGGGCTGCAGGCATCCACTCTGTGTAATGGGCTATAAGGAGGCATCTTTCCCTTGCCTGAGCCATTAGGCACTGCTGAGCTAAATTTCTCTCTGATGAAAGTGGCTCTGGCATTACAGTATATCACAAAGGGAAGTCCAGGAGATGGTGGATCTTTCTATTCATTCAGGGAAATGATCAGAGTTTTTATCAGACAGGGCTGGGAGTGCATTTGGTTAGTTATCTTTCACAGCATTAGAGTTTTGCTTGAGTAGGTGGATTTTTTAGTGGCTTTGTAATCGCAATGAAAGATAAATCTTAAATTGTTACTCTGCTGGGGAAATCAGCCTTTCATATTGATAAAGGTGAACAGCCCTGGAGCAGTTCTATGCCAGGGTGCAGTCTAGCTATCTGTGTAGATAGAGTTTTAATGTTGTGTGCGGGAAAAAGGAGGGTACATTGAATTCTCCACTGGATTTTATTATTCGTTGATGTTATAACCAGAATGTTAGAGCACTGGTGCTATTTAACTCGTTCCTCTCCTCCTTTTCCTTGTAGGGTTCTATATAGGGTACATTTCCCTGCACACACTTGTTAATTCACCATATTTGATGGCACAGTGGTAAATGCACAAGACCTACACTAAAGGAAAATATAAACACCCTGTACGGCAGGGTAACCTTAGGGAGAGAATATAGCGGGCCCCTAAAAATGAGGGTCTGGTGTCTCTGCCATTGTTTTCTGCAGTGTCTGTGCTAGCCACTTCATGTAGCACCCTAAGATATTGTTCATTCCATCTCTATTGCTCCTGGACAGAGATTATGGGCTGTGGGGTTGGTCAGTAGGTCTGGGAGATCAGTGGATCTTTGAAAAGGTATTGGGAGAAGGGAAGGTTACATGTTGAAAACAATTTCTGATGAAGACCATGCAAGTGTTCTATCTTCTCTAATTCTTCCAGGCCCCCTTCCCCGGGTGAAATAGTTTTTTTTTCCTAAAAGGGAAAACCCTGCTCCCTCCTCTGAATGTGGCACTCATCAAATGCATTGGAACCAGCGTTCTGCTGCACAGGCAGGAAGAGTTATTGAAACCAGACAGGGGTATATACCTCCTGGATGGAGCACAATTCTGTGAGTCTGATCTCTGTCCTGTCCTACAAGGATTTTGAGGTATGGGGCAGAAGCAGGGGAAGCATTGGAGCAGGTGTGATAGATCCATCACTGTGCAACTGCACTAGTCATTGCCTCGTACGATAAAGAGGTATAGCTACTGTGGAAGCTATCACAACCTCAGAGCTTCAGTGGGAACTGTGGAGTGGTTTGGCATAGCTGGTCTATGATACCAAAGAGTGTTTCTTGGGCTGTGCGCTGATCTCCAGGAATTTAACGAAAGTACACAAATGAAGAATCCAAGGGGCTACGCGTGTGTCTTATTGGTGTCTGAGCCATAATCCTATCTAATACGTGGTAAACTCTGGACATAATATGTAGTCTCATGCTGCATACTCTCACAGCTGTATGTCAGAACAGAACTTGGCCCTAAATGTCTTCAGTTTACCACCTCATTTCTGGAGACCAACTCTCCTCAATCTCCTGACCATTTGTGCCCACTGAACACTTTGTAATCTTGAGGAGACAATCCTTTCTCCTATAAGTCCTGTATTTTTGCCTATCTACTGTTTATGCAAGATACTAACACTGTTTTGTGTCTGTTAGCCTCAAGCATGCTGAACCAACTTGTCCAGAGATGGCACACTTATTTCAAAGTTCCTTGTTCGAGGTTTTCAGGAGAACTTGCAATATTCCTTCATACTTTCTTCCATTTAGTAAAATGGAGCTCTTGTGAGGTTCTTTCCATCAGTCAATGTTGACTCAGACAGTACTTTTTAAAAAAATGTTCATGTCCCCTGCTCTCCCTTCACTGAGTGTTAGTAAAACATCTGGTCTAGGGGAGTCTAATCTCTCAAACACATGCCAAACCCCCTCCACCAATCTGCCCACTTAAATGAGCCAAAATGTGATAAAACCAAACTGGAGGTGTCATAGCCTTTCATGTGATACTGCCTAGAGAGAAGTGTGGTGTGAGCAACCTTGTGGCCAGATACAAGAGTGGATTTCCTCAGTTGTCCGTCTCCCACCAGTTGGTTGGACAAACTGTACAGCTTTTCAACCTCAGCAGCTTAATAGAAAGTTACTTCTCACATTTGGATGCTGTTATTGCTACTTCGGTGTGTAATGCAGGAACTCATGTGCTTGCATACCTAGTTGAGTCTCCAGGTTTGGGATTTGGACATACTACTGAAGTGGCCACGGCTGCCATTTGGCCTTACTTTGTTTACCCTCTTTAGCAGGGTCATGATTTAAGTATAAGATGTCATAATCAATAGGCTGCAGCTTTGCAATGTGAGCCGAATGGGAATCTCTCTCCTGGCAAATCTTACTCTTGAATATGGCAAATCTTAATCTTCCTTCTGGGGAATCTTCACCACAGAAGAAAAGAGTGACTCTTGAATGTGTTCTGCATTGCCTGGCTGTCATTGGTAGATGCATTACTTATGCACTGAAGACAGTTTAATTTTTCTGAAGCCAGAGCTGATCCTTAAATACTGACTATAGCAAAAAATAAAACAAAATGAAAACACTTCCTGTTGCTGATACGCAAACAAAGATGTCCATCAGTTAAAGAAGAGAAAGATACAGCTGCGCAATACCAGTCCTTCATACTGGGAATTTCCTTCCATCATAGTTTCACTCAGTGATTGGAAAGTGCCTAGTTTAATTATACGTCAATGTCCAAAAGACAGGGAAGATTGTAATAGTTAGCAGTCTGCCTGTAAATACATTTTAAGAATAAAATTATGAAGCGAATAACTTTATTCCTAGAACTCAACCAGAAAGTGCACACAGAGCAAAAGGGGAAGAAAATGAACCCATTAAAGAATTGTTTGTGACAATGATGGAAGATTACCTAAGACGGGAAACAGGAGATAAGATAGGGAATAAAATTATCCAAAAGGCTGGGAAGAAAAGAAAAATATTTGGCTTAGCTCATTTACATACATCTTAAAGGAGGTCTTCATGGCTCAATCTCTAGTTATTTTATGTTGGTTTTGCTTGTACACAAAACAGAACTCGTATGCTATTTTAAACTCAGTGTCATACCAAAACAAAGCATGAATCCTGTTATACCTGATGCTTTAAACACAAATCCATTACATTTTTGAGACAAATAACTTAGGCAAATCTTACATAAAAAAAATATTTACTGACACTGTCATCTAAGGTTTAAGACAATGTGCTGTTGAAGTAAAGCTTACAAGGTTAGATCAGTATGTGTTGACCCAGCAACAACAGTAGATGTGTTTATTGGTGTGCCTCCTGAATTATGGGTCACCTAGTCCAGTAATTAGAGTACCAGACTGTGTTTTGTTCTCAGCTCCATCACTGATTTTCCATGTGACTCAAAGCAAGTCATTCAGCTTCCAATTCTGCAATGGACCCATGTGAGCAGTATTGAGATCTAAGCATATTCGTTTCTCAGTTACCACTTCTGTGAAGTGGGGATAATACTTTTTAATCACTTCTGTAGAGAGGGGTTTGGTGAAAGTACTTTGTAAGAGCAAAATATTACTACAATAGAACCTCAGAGTTACAAACACCAGTTACAAACTGACAAGTCAACCACATACCTCATTGGAACCAGAAGTACTACACAATCAGGAAGCAGCAGAGACAAACAAAAAAACAAACAAACAAAAAAACAAACACAGTACAGTACTGTGTTAGAAGTAAACTACTACAAAAATAAAGGGAAAGCAGCATTTTTATTCCACATAGTAAAGTTTCAAAGCTATATTAAATCAATGTTCAGTTGTAAACTTTTGAAAGAACCATAACATTTTGTTGAGAGTTATGAACATTTCAGAGTTTCGAACAACCTCTGAGGTGTTTGTAACTCCGAGGTTCTATGTATTTTGCTGTATGACACAAGTTGCTATATTTGAGGCTATGTTAAATCATGCACACTTGTTCAATTTCTTTTTATTTAAGGAATGTATTTTTATTATCTTAATATGTAAAAGGAATGTGATAAGTTGGAAAATAAAAAATACACATTTTATAACAAAAGGAAATATCTATAGATACCTGAATATGTGATAAATGGTAAAATTATAAATGCATAATTGCTTGGTAATAGAAGTAGGCAATTTCTTGCATGATCATGTTGGGGATGGGGAAATCTGGGTGTGTGCAGATATACAAACAGAGCACTAGCTGGTAATACATTAAGTAACTTTTTGTATCTTCTATAATCTCTGATTCTGTAATAAATACTCTCAATAAGTTGCCTTTGTCATGTGGGTGGAGCTAGGTATGGTGGATCACTGAAACATTGGAAGATAGCAGCGTCTTTACATGAGTGTGTGTTTGTTGTTAATATTCAGTACTTGAGTTTTCGTGTTTGGACCCCCAGGTCAAGAATGGACCAATAGTAATGGGTACTAATACCTTTTTAAATGTTGCCGTTTGGCCCAGAGTGTATGTTTTCTCAGCTCTAGAGCACCAGCCATTGCTGGAAGACTTCAGCCTCTCTGGCGGTACACATGTGACTGTTGTGGAGAGTTACTGACTTTCCACTCTTTTCCTTTACAGTTCCTGGGCCTGTTCCCCTAGAATCTATCCAAGGAGGACCCTTTGAAGAAAAAATCTATGTTCAGTGGAAGCCTCCAAATGAGACCAATGGTATCATTACACTCTATGAGGTAAGGAGAACAGATTGCTGTGAAAGAGTATCTATCAGACGACCTGTTCCATATGTGTGCAAGTGTAGTGGTCAGTATAGCCATGATGTTTGAGAGATTTCAGTAGGTGTTTAAAGGAGGCCTAAATAAAATAGGTGAGAATCTTCATGGTACCTTGCTGCTGCCACTGAAATCTCGTAAATAGCTCCATTTTAAATCACATCCAAATGTGACCCTTAACTATCTCCATTGCCCCACATCCAGGTCATCACAAATTCTGCCATTTATTGCTCTACACCATTTCCAAGATATACTTTCCTTCCTTTCTGTCCCTAGAGCTATAATGCTTTCAGGCTTTCATTATCTCCCATCTTGAATACTGCAGCCACTTCCTTTCTCTGCCATATGTTTCCTTCCGGTTTTCACAAAAGGCAGCCAATAAGCACCTTCCTTATTAAGTACTCTCACCCTGTCAGCCCCCTCATGGAATTTGGTTTAATCCATATGTCTAAAAAAAAATGTGTTATCCAAAGCTTTAGCTTTGTCTTCATAAGACAATCTTCACCCTGATAGCTTCACTTGTGTGGTATACCTCTACCCTTTGTCTTCAGGAGGTAAACCTGTTGGGGGAGGGGATATGCGTCTTTTGTTTGTGCTGTGCCTAGCATAATGGGTGGGAACAAATAATCTGAGGACAGAACCTATTGAAGGATGTATGCCATTAGTCTGAAATATGGTGCCTCATCTGTTAAGTAGTGGGACAACCTATGACAGAAATAACAATATTCTTCAATATCTTGGACAAACCTTACTGAAATCTTACTGAATTGATTTAGACCTTACTGAAATGAGTTTCATGCCTTTGGGACTCATTTTATTAAAAATTCAGTTGTTTATTATGGTGAGATTGTATGTAACTTCTCTAGGAGGAGTAGGTATGCTAATGTAATTCCTCTGGTTATCAGCCTTTTGAAACCACCTCTGGAGAGTTTTGCATGTACTAGTTCAAACTGGATTCTCCAAGGACCAACAGACAAAGAGAGGATTTTTTGATAAATAGCCTGGTTTTCAATAGGCTCAGGGCTTTTTTTTTTTCCTGATCCAGCAAATCATCAGGAGGTCCACAGAGGACCCCAATCCTTAAGGAAGGGTTAGAAGGACCTATACTGACCTTGTGGAGATTGGGTAGCAGGTGGGGATTACTCTCTGGTAAGATTATTAGCATAATTGTAGGTTCCTTTTATTGTTTTAAATATGTTTTTTCCCTGTAGTTTGTTTACCTTAAGAATAAAATATGCTTCCTGAGAGAGAACTGTGCACTAAGTTATAACTGAGGGAAGTTATACTATTATTAGAGTCTTTTGCTGGGAATAACATGATGAAGGCAGGGAACTGTTCAACCTGGAAATATCTCAGTCAGAAGGGGGAGAGACATGATTTTCCACCCAAGAGAGATGATGACGTAGGGTGGGGTGGATCCTGAGAATGGGTGCCCTTGGTGACGTGAAGGGGAAATCTAGGTGCAGTTTCCTTGGACAGTGACATATTTTCTGGAAGTTCTGGGAAAGATGCACTTAGACTATGGATTTTAAAAGTTAGGCACACAGATGGAGTAAATGTGCAAATGATCAGAATTGTCCATTTGTACATGCAATTGCTCAGTTTGTGCATTCATTCCTATTAATCACATGTGCAAATTAAGGGACAAATTCCTGAATCTTGTTGAGCTTCAGTAGGCCATCTTTCCATTTTACCAGTCCTGGAACCAGCCAGGGACTGTTGCAGCCTTTAGCATTATTTAGAGCTGCATATAAACTGCTCTGTGTTATAAAGGCCGGACTGAACCCTTAGTGACTATACTGCACTGTTGCTATACCACTTCCTATCCAGGAATGCCCTGTTAGAGCAGATCTCTATGACCTTTGCACTGCCTGAGAGAGCAGGCTTTGATCTTCTTTGGTATGAGGTTGTGCACCTAACCTATTTGAAAGGAGGCAACTGTGTAACAGACTCTGAACTGACAATCTCATGACTTAAAAGGCTAACCTGTGAGCAGATGCTGCACTGGAATGTATGAATGTACTGACTATCACCTTTTGGAGCCCACAAGGCAAGAGACAGAAACAATTTCCAAAATAGTCTCAGTAAATTAATTCAGTACTCAGTAAAAAGGAGGTACTGATAGCATTTGGCTTGTTAAGGCACAATCCAGAGCTGACTTGCAAGCCCTGTGACATCCCCTGCTGCAATCCCAGCTGCCTTTGGGAAACTAGAAATGTAGGTGGTGTCCTAGCTCTCACTTTAAAAAAGAGCGTAAAGCCTCTTTCCTTGCAAAGGTAGCTTTTGAAGGCCTAAATGGATGTAAAACCATTGGTAGGGTTGCAAAGAACAACGGTGGTCTCCATTTCTGAGGCAGGATGCTGAGTGAGCTAAAGGTTGAGCACATAGTTTATATAAATAATCTGTTATGTTGGGGTGTATCACAAAGAACTATCCTGCTTATTACTCTAAAATCTTGCTGGCTCTCTTCAGAGTGGAGTGAGATGGAGGGACGGGAACCATTTACAGTTTGGTTTCTTTTTTTGCAGTGGAAGAGCGCACACAGTTATTTTGGGGGCAAGCATGCAGGTGGTAAACTCTGACACAGCCCAACGGAGTCTATGCAGATTTCCCTTCCATAACATTCCCACTTCCCCTCAGTTCTGACCAGCAGACCACCTGCTCTCTCGTCCTAATGGACCCCTTGGGAGGCAGTGCCAGTGATGGCAAACAGGATGTTTTTAGAGTGAACAAATGAAGACTAGTTTGAGACCACCGAACTCTTCTACATTGCAGCCAAAGCAAGTTCTGTAGTCTGCTGTCCAGAGGTTAAATGTGGTTTCATAAACTATTATGTCATCTTGCCTCGCATCTATTAAAAATGTAGGTTGAGTTGATACGGTAAAAAGGCTGCATATGAAAGAAGTTCCTCTTGATAAATGTGTGCCATTTCAGCCAGGTCCACAATATATCAATGCTATAGCAATGCTACCAGATGCCTCTATAATAAAAGCAGATTTCAGACGTCTGGGTGTTACAGTGAGGTTAATGCACTAAGCCTTTCACATCTGGAAACCTGATTTTTAGAAGTAACTTGGGTCAAAAAAATAAATTGAGTTTGGTGGCTTTAGCCTAATCTCTGGCGGGGGGTTGTGTATATTGCCAAACTCCTTCACAATTCTCTATGACTAACAATCTCCATTCAGGGAAAGTTATGGACTAAAATAAGCAATAGGGTTGTAGATCACAACTGAGACACATTGGCCAAACTGTAGGGGCTGGGCAAGATTTCACCTCACCTGTCTAGACTGTAGCTCTATGCACCTCACCTGTGTAGACTCTAGCCAGTACTATTATCCCCTTTTTATGAGCTCCAAATGCACATGTTTTGAAAGGTCTTACATGCACACAGATAACATATTATATAATAGCCCTTGTTTATGCTGCTTAGGAACTGGCCTGGATGGTATAAATTGCAAATTAATTATTTTCTGAGAACACAAATGACCTATAGGAAAGTGAATATAAAAATAAATTGGGGAGTGTAAATGATTTAAAAAAAAAAACCTCCTCCTTTTAATTCTTAGAGACTTGCTGCTAAACATTGCCTGTGGGCACAGCTCATTGAAAGGACCTTATTAATCTGGGGTGCTTTTCTGACTGAGCGACTGCGTAGAGAGCAGTGATACATCATAACAGTGACTTTGCCTCTTAAGTCAGATCATTTCTTGAATCTCATTGGAGGTGTGCATACACAAATTTCCCTTCCTGATTATGACTCAATGCACATTTGATGGCTGCACCAGTAGGGGGGTCAGGGTGAATTCCAACTGTTCCCGTTCCTCTATTCTCTTCAATAAAGAGGAAACTTCAGCACTAAAACATCCAGAGAATTAAAATGGAACACACAAACATCTCTCTCAGCCGAGATGCTTCCTACTGGATATGGGGGAATTTGCAAACTGACATGGAGGTATTACCTCAGATAGCCTCATCCTACACAGCCCTCCAAGACAAGTAATCTCAGCATGAATGATGCAGTTGGAGCCAGCGTGGTATAGTTATTTGTTTAGTGAGGCGGTCAGAGTATTTTCAATGGTAGATTTCAAGTTGTGGAATTCCATAACACAAGAGATCAATCTAAACCCTGTGTTTAGAGTGAAAGTGGAGATGCATCCTTTTGATAATGCCCATTTAAATAAAGCACAGTTCTTTGCACATATGGATATATGCCTCACCTTGCTGCCTGAGGAAATTGGATAGCAATTGAACTCTATGTTCCCTAATTGTTTAGTGCCTTTGTGCAAAGGTACCTCTCACCTATGCATTATCTAAAATGGATAGATCTGCTTAATCTCAAATTCAGCTATATGGGTAGTTATTACCCATCAGTTTTGTCTATGCTGGTATTTATTCTTCAAATTTCACATCATGACTGTAGCACTAGTGTAGTTCCATCAATAGTAGCAACAGATGAAGTTTTATCTTAGGCAGAGTTCAGGCATCTTTACCAAAACATTGTCTTGACCTGTTCTCAGTGGATTCTGCTGATGCCTTGGTTAAAATGTCAGTGGCTGGTCTGTGATGCTACTTCTATTGTTTCCTGTCACCAGTGGCCTGCACTAGCAGTATTGCAGTGGTGGGAGGTTTTAAAGAAATACTGCCAATAAAGAAAACACCCCTAATCTATGAACCAGAGGGGTAGTGTTTTTAAGAACAAGAAGCACCTTTCCTAAAAATTGCATCTTCGGAAGTGATGTTACTGTATCAGCTGATGTGGATTTGAGATTCAATAACGATCTAACCTATTTGCAGCAGTCTAGCAACTTCACATTTGTTACTTTGTTTATCAATGGGATACAACTACTCCTAAAGCAGAGGCATCTACCAGTTTTGTTAAAAGAAAACTCCTGCAGAGTTAGGGTCCAGGAAATGCATTTTATGAATGAGTCAATGAAGTCAAAGTCAGCTTCACTTCTGGA